GAGAGTCGAGGGAGGACAAGTATAGTATGATTGATCGTGGTGAGCAGTATAGCTGTGTACCTCTCACCTTCCCCCCCGATTACTGCCTGCTCCTGATCTCTCACATCTGTCTTGACTTCCTAAAGAAACGGATTCCTTACGTATAACACTGTTGGGATTAAAACTCTATCAAAAGGTTGACTTTTTAAGGAACATCCTGCTTTGTATTTGTGCAGTTTCACACATGAATGAAGTGTGGCCAGAGTGGGACACTGAGCAGCTCCACTGGAGTAGCTGAAGTCACAGTAGGTATGCTGTATTGATTAAGATTGTAGTAGTTTCGCCCAGATTTACAAACTACAAACTTACAACTAACAAAGTTAAATCTACCCCTGTCCCACAAACATGTCAGAGATGTATCAACCCTCTAATCGTGCATGTAACACTCTTACCAGTTTATTAGTTTACCTCCCACACTAACACTTGAAGTGATTTAATAACCACAGGGGGAGTTAACAGCACTTGTTAGAAGATGAAATATTTTCTGCATAGTTTCAAACACACTTTGTACAGTCAGTGCTGCAATGTAACAAATCCATCGAGTCCAGCAGGGTTACCAGTTTCTTTGCAGATTAGGATTTTACATAGAAAACATATGATCAGCTCATAAAATATGACACATTGCTGTAGATTAAAGTATTCAGCAGTATATAAAGTGTTTAAAATTAGCTCCTCCGCGACTAGCTACAACTGTAAAATGCTTATTATAAATGTATGCATCAGCACAAATTATTCAGTAATGTAATATATAATAATTCTGCTTGATAGTGTTTTTACACTGTGGCATTGCTACTTTCGCTTAAGCTAAGGATCTGAACGCTTCATGCACCACTGTCTGCAACACACAACACCTGATACCAGGAACTTTGCAGTTCAGCTCTGCTTGGATATTAGTTCACTACACGAAACCAAGGAGCAGATTCGACAAATATTCATGCTACCTCTCTGTGCTTTCACGTGTGCAACCGTAATGAAGACAAAGTGTACGCGTACCAGCGACAAATACCAGGAAATAAATAAGAATAAAGTATCCAAACCAAATGAAAGACTGTTCATAATTGGGTTAGTAATGTCTCTGGCACCGTCTGCTCGGTCATTTCCTCCAATCTCCCCGAGCAACAGGGGGATCATACAGGCGACATTCAGACCAGGAGGTATCTCGCCGCCGTGTGACAGGCTACCTTCACCAGCATACTTTCACTGTCTTCAAAACCAATTCTGATTCGAGGAAGCTCAGAGGAAAGACGAACGTCATCTTCAGATGTAATACAAGCAGCGATTTCACAAATCTTTTAATGATTTGTGACCCCTTTGTGGACAGCAAAATTGTGAAATCATGCACCCATAACTTCTCACTTAATCTGTATTACTCTCATCACAACAGAGCAAGCCACTCTATCAGTAAATGCTAATCTCCTAATTAACAAGCTAATTAGGCAATTACAGCTTTGCAGAAGGATGCCTAAATGAAATATGACAACACAGTCACTTTCTACAGCACCTGTGGGTCTTTTCAGATGTCACAATGAGAAGCATGATGACAAAGTGTTGTCTCTACACTCATAGGTGCTTATTTCTATGCCTCGCTTAGCTCATTTGTAAAAATATTGTCATTTTATTTAACCTAATGCACGGTACATGTGGAAACAACTTGTCAAATTACATGTAAATGATTCCTCTTCAAAGAATCAAACCGGCAGCATTTTAAAGACATTTTAGAAAATGAAGTGTACAGAAAACAGTGGGTAGCACAACCCCTTGGTTGTGTAAACATGGTTTTGTGAACTAGTAGCACCACAGTGTCTTACTGTAAGGAGCTGTCACATACGGAAATGAATTATGTTGACATATGGCTGAAAACAACGGTGAATAGCGCTGCTATGCAATGCAATGAAGAATCATGCACTGCAACAGAGGAGAGGAGCCGGAGCTGTACCTTTGAGCCCTTCTTGACAGGTATGTAGTGTGACTTGACAGCTCAGTATTTCAATGATAAATGCAGTAGTCCTGGGACTCCCATTTACTAAACTCAAGAGTGTGTTGCTCCGATGCTTCAAGGTCAAATGAATGAGCAGAACAACACAGGCCGCTAAATACAATCTGTTTTTTTTTTTTTCTTCAAATATTGAAATCTTGTGATATTTAGATCTATAACTTCAGGTCAACATTACTTATGTCCTCAAGTTTTAAGGACAAACTGAACACTTGTATGAATGTCTGAAGATACTTATCAATAAATTCAAAATATATCAATTTATTTTCATGTAGTGTCATATAAAACTAAATGTACTAAAAGTAATGTAATGCATCATTTGTTCTCAGACCTCTGAAGTTTTGACTCATCCTCAGTTGCTGAAAAAAAAACAGACAGGGTGATGTCCCCTTCATTGTCGAGCAAGATAATGAAACATTGTGAGCAGTTATTTGAAGTAATGACTCACTGTATCGTGACTACAGTCGAACTTCTCGAAGTAGAAGTTGTTTCCTTTTCTGAGGATAAATCCGGTCACTCAGTTCTGACGCATGAAGATGATTCACAACCTAACACCAGGTAATTCCTGATCCGTCCAACATTTTTTTGACCAAAGAGAACATGTTATTTTTAGCACAATATTTTTGATGGACGTACTTAACTCAGTATTCGTCAGAGCTTGCAATAATGACTAATAACAAATGATGGAATTTAATAGAAATGGATGAAAATTGTATTTCATTATCAACCCTGTGTCTCACAAATCGTGTTTATGTCTGTTTGATCTTTACTGAGAAAAGTGAGTTACAGTCTGAAGCTTTGTGTAACACTGTAAAACCAAGAGCTTCCCTGTCAGAGATGTTGTTGGTGTTTATTTCATTTAATCCCAAACCAGGAGCTCAGACTTGAAGGTGATGCTCTACTTGGTGTCCTGCAAGTTTGTTTTCTTTTTACTTTTTCATTTTTTGAAGGGGATAAACACGGTGTTGCAAGACATTTTGCAGATGTTTTTGACCAATTTCACAATCTTATGAAATTGTTCAGCTCCCTTTGTGTTTTCAAACAGCAAATGAAACCAAATACCTAATGACGGTTTGTCTGTTTGTGCATAGTGTAAATAAATCTGTAAGGATGGATCACACAGTGCCTTTAAAAGTGAAAACGTCACGTCCTTGTGTGTTAAAACCTACCAGCACCAACAAAACCTCTTGGAACATGAGAAATGTTTTTTTTTTTTTTTTTTTTCTCTACCAGCCTCCTCAGAATAAACTGTGCTCTTTTGTCAACTTTGTCTGAATTCTGGTCCCTGTTTGTCTCATCAGTGCAGCAGTTCAACAGTGCATCAGTTTAAAAAGAGGCTAATGGAAACAAAAAAGCTCAAAGTGTCACACATCTCTTCAAATGAATTTTACGCTGTTTCCTCTCTCTGTTTTTTTCTTCTTAGCTTAATTAAATATAAAAGTTCAGTGAAACATTGGAAATATAAAAGATCTCTAAATAATGTGTCACTATAAACTACTTAGAAGCCAAACTTTAACATATTTATAGATTATCTGATGGGTTTTCGTAGAAATTACACCCATAATGGTTATTTTGGCTGCCAGAGAAGATAATATCTCATGTGAGCGAACAGAACTGTACATGACGTGGCAGATTTGTCCTTATTTATGTCGACTTTGCCACTTTATTCCATAGTCATCATCAAACCCAAATCAAAGAAACCCCTTCTGTCAAAAGTTCAGCATCATGACATGCTGTCTTTCTATAACACTCCAGTGTAGGAAAATCTAACCTGCCTTTAACTCTTCTCGCTTTAATCCTGCGTGAGTATCATGAAACGCCTACAAAATGAAAGCAAAACCCCATTTTTCCCTCCTTTTTCTTTACAAATCCACGATCTAGATGCTTATTGTGGAGGTGCACAGTGTATTTGCTGCCTCGCATCCAGCTCAACAACTTGTCTGCTGCCATAGCAACTGCGGAGGAGCACAGAGCAGCGCCGCCTGCTTGTGCAATGGATGTCACTCGTAGCAACGACCAATCAGAAGTTCCCATCCTTTTGTACCAGCAGTGTGAAGATGGAGGGATGGAGTGGGTGGGCTTTCGCCATCATGCATCTGCCAGTAATAGGACACTCGGATCGTCAGTCTCCGTCAGTCTAGCCCGGGATTGGTCGAGGAGCTTGACTTTCCAATAATATAAACATGTCTACTGCTTGCCTGGCTTGAACCAAGGCTTACAGGGGACTGTGCAGTTCTACATCAAACTGTATAAAAACTCTCATTATGTATTTGGCTGTGTGGTTGCAGGGCTAAATCTTTATCACTGCTAGAGAATATGCACATAGCTGCACGTGCACGCGTGAGGAAACGAGGATACCCTGCTGCCGCCGCTGCGAGAAAGAGAGAGGGGGACTCTGCCGTGCTTTCATCATTATAATCACCATCCTAAGTACTAGCTCTTAACATTTTGTTTTTCGGTGTTCAGGCGAGAAGTGACAAGAATATAGACCCCTCCTCTGCAGGGCGGAGCGTGCATTTTCATTTCGTATTTTGTATGTTTTTTTTTTCTACCCCTGTTCCCTGCTCTGACACGTCTGCACTGAGTGAGTGGCATTGGCACACTGTCAATCGCTCACTACCGCTGCCATCAAACAACATAAAACACACACAGGCAGAGGCTGGAGCTCATAAATTTCAGCAGGGCGAGATATTTTTTTGCGCATCGCCTGTACACAGCGTTGTATCCTAATTAATTTCTTCTCGCTGTTGCCTTTTTTTTTCTAAAGAGAAACCCCTAACTTTTTGTACATTTCATATTTTTTATAGTCACATTTGGACACCTTATGCAGCAGATTGTGTATATATTTTTTTAAATGCTGTCAGTTGTCGCGGGAGTCATTTCTGCACATTTATAGTTGGCAACACCTGCAAGCCTAAGATTTTTTTTTTCTCTCTCTTTTTTTTTTTTTTTTTTTTTTTTTTTTTTTGATTTGTTTACACGTTTCCACATTGGATATTTTTGTTGCCGGTGCTTCACGCGGAGGATTTGGACATTTTTTGGAGAGGAAATGCGATGGGAATCCCATATGAAGAGCGCTAATAAATGAGAGATCACCAAGGAGCGTTTCTGTCTCTACCACCCGTCAAATCCCAGAGAAAAGACAGATTGGCATGAGGATTCGTGCGGGATACGATGGACCGTCAATTTTGACAGAGAAGTTTTAAGAAGAAGATAAAAATAAAGATTTATGCATTTTTCTACAAACGCAGCCACGCGTTTTGGCACTTTGGACCGCGCGTAAAAAAGCGAGAGGACAGCGAGAACTTGGACACAAGATTTACGCTAAAACATCTCTGCTAGTCTTCATTTTAAAAAAAAAAAGAAGAAGAAAATCACCGTGTCTGCTCTGCATCGCTGAAGAAGCCCACGGCCGTACATCCCTCCAGTCTGCGGCACATGTTGTAGCCGATTTCGTATATGAGTTTTTCAATTTGTGTGGCTCAGTGCACAGACTCTTTAGCGGCTACAATGGACGATCAAGCCCGGATCATGCAGTCGATCGGCGGCGTTAGTCTGGCTGGCCACTCGGTACAAGGAGGCATGGCACTGCCGCCTCCACATGGACACGATGGGACAGACGGAGACGGAAGAAAACAAGACATTGGTGACATTCTCCATCAAATAATGACCATAACTGATCAGAGTCTGGACGAGGCGCAAGCAAAGTTGGTTGATTTATATGTTTTATTAACTTCGCCCCCCCAAAACGCTGAACGCATCATTGCTGAGTTGTGGCCCGCTTAACTTAACTCCCCCATGCATAACAATAGACTGGAGTGGCTTTAATGATAATCTTCCACTGAGGTGTATTTAGTGCCTCGCAGGGCTTTAACACATGAGAAAGTTGTCACTGAGGGAACAACAGCTTTTTATTTAAACTGCCTGTGTGAAACTGAGAGAGGTCGTGCTGTTCAGAAAGTTCATGTGCACACATGTCCTGTAGTAAATGTTCATACATCTGCACAACTATAGGCTAAAAGAAAATGAGTGCCTGTAGGCTCATTATAGAAATGAATTGCCATTGCATTGGCATTGTATTTATAATGGAGCATTATTATTAGTCTAATTTATTTAACAGATACTTTTATTTCCTTTTTCCCAACTTTGTGCAAATTCTCCACTGTTACAAATGATAACTTTGGAAAGACCTCTGTGTTGGACCATAGTGACAACTAAACTTTATATCTGAAAATATCCATTCACTTGTTAATGTTTAACATGTGATTGATCAGTGAACTTATTTCAATATTTTATCTTTTCTCATACTGAAACAGGAAACATGGACTGAACTGTCACAGAATGAAACCAGCACTCTTCAGCGTTCTCTGTGAAATCAAAGAAAAGACAGGTAAGACCTTTATGTAAAAATATCAACTCATAGAGAAATAGCACAGGAGCCTGAATGCGATAGCACATAGAGATTTCAACCTCCCAGGGATCCGATGGCAGCCTGCATCCAGGTTACAAGGGACCTCTGCCCAAATTAATCAATCACTTTTTTTTAAATATGTCATTGTGCCACACAGAAACAGTCCTGTTGTAGCAGCAGAGGTAGATTTTTTTTTTTTCCTTTTCCCACTGAAGATGCTCTTGTTTCATCTCCTCCAGCACTGGTTGCTTGGATTTAAACAGAAAGTTCAGCTCCAGCTTCCAGCCCCACTACACTGGCACTGAACAGGATGGGGGAAATCCCGCAGCATATGCTCTACATAGCTGAGATCACACAGAATTCATGCTTTATAACCTCCCAACAATTTCCACGCTTTCAACATATGAAGGCAACTATACACTCTCAGTCAGTAACTGTCCTGCACTTGCATGCAGACGCCTTCCCCACAAACGTGGGCTGTTGATGCTTGTAAAATGCAACTAACACAATCAGCTTGTAGGAAATTATTGAAAAAAAATTCATTTGGAAAAAAAGAAAAATTTTGTTGCATATTGTGCAGTTGCTCTGTAAAAGCATCAACTCTCAGGGTTGAAAACTTTCAGTGTGTGTGTGTGCACATTTACACACATATATGAGAGACAGTTCAAATTAAAGCTGTCGTTTTTGTGTCTTATAATTTTTCTTATAGCTTCAACTTTATACATTATATATGTATATTTTAAAAAGACACCTTTGTACAGACAGATTGCTGTTTTTACACTTTGCCCACAATGTTTATGGGGCGTATAATAAACTGCATCCCTTTAAATTCTTAAATGATTTTCGGTGATAACAGCTTTGTACTGACCTTGATGCTTCACATATTGAAACTGCTGTACATTTTCCAAATGATCTGTACATCTCTCAGACAAAGAGCAAATACAAATATGTAGAAAACAATGCTGTGGGTTGAGTGTAATTTAGCAAACCTGATGTCTTGTCAGATTTGTGACCTTTGTGCAGTTTATGAGGAAATTGGCTTCGGGGAGATCATAAAAGTTTATGAACTTCCCCAACACAGGTGGCGTCCACAGGGTCAGGCAGAGGGTCCACAGTGTGAGCCGAGGTGCTCTGCTGTGTTTGTGTGTGAGATCACACATCTCGCAAGATGCCAGCTTTTATTTTTGTGTGCGCTCATTGATTTAATGTGAAAGTGTCTTCCAGGACAGAATCGTTGCTGCATCTGTCGAACCTCAGTGAAAAAAGAAAAAAAAAAGATTGCTATTTATATTTTCAAACTAAAGTTATATTATCATCCTGTTACTCTAGTCACTTTAATCATCAGATGTTTTAGCAGTTTGCTTGTGGAAACTTGTCTCTGGTTTCGGTGTTTTGTACTGCCGCTTTAAGTAGCATGAAAAAGTAAATGAGAATGACAACAAAAAAAAAAAATGGATTAATATATGTTCATGTGTCAAAGAGTGTATGTGCTCGGGAATATGTGTGTGTGAGAAAGAGATGAGACAGAGAGGAGAGGGAGAACAAGCTTGTGTGTGTGTGTGTGTGTGTGTGAGAGTATGTGTGTGAGTGTGTGTGTGTGTGTGTGTGTGAGTGTGTGTGTGTGTGTGTGTGTGTGTGTGTGTGCATGGTTAACCTGTGGTTTAGAGTCACAGCCTCCCCCTCTTAGCCATTGACAGAGCTCAGCTGGTCTGGTGGCCTTGTTGACCGGCCTGTTTTTCCAGCACACACTGAGCCTTTCACTGGCTCCTGTAGCACCGTTCACAGGGCTCCCCTTGGTCCTTTCATGTGCGTTCAGATGGCACAGGGGCCGCTGTCTTTTAGCCATGGGATCCACCGTTGGCTGAAAATGACTTTTAATAATAAATTTGAAAGCCGTCCAAGAATCATCTGTGTAATTACTGCGCACATGTATCATGTTATCTCGACCTATTGTCTCGTGCGCAGATGAATGGTGGGTCTAAGGTTTAGCTTCAAAGCTTCGGACGTGTTTATTGTAAAAGTATTATGTTGCGAGACAAAGTCAAATCGGTGAGAACGATGTTAATCTTGATTTTTCTGGGTTTTAGCAGAGGTGAAGACGTGCTGTTTCTAGCACTGGAAAGCCATGTTGAGGACTTTTCAGGGTGTTTAGAAGTTTCTGGCAGTCTTCTAACTGTTATTATAGAGCTACAGCATATTTCTGCATTGCTAATGCCCTAGAAGTATTAATTCACTTTGATATGCTAATTAGAGAGCATTATGCAAGAAATGAGATTAAGTGGCAGCATGAAGTCATTTGCCTGTCACTAAATTGAGTGTTTTTAGCAGGAGGGGTTTTTTTTTTCCTCCCAGATTTTCTTGGTTTTGCATTTAGATAAGCTGCATGTGAGATTCGGTTGGCGAGTGGTGTTCTTTGTCCTTCAGTGTGTGATGTTTTTTTCTTTCTTTTGGTTGTATACATAAAGAAAAATGGCAATTAAAGTGTTTGATTCTCTCACGTTTTCTGACCGTTCCAGGACAAAGGCTGCGTTCATGCTGCACCTCTTTACCTGTAGGCTGCATGGGAAGACAATGAATGCATTGAGTGAAAATGGCCTGTGATTCAGATGAGTTTTGCAGTTACTCCTCTGTGCTGGGTTTGTTTTATCCTGCTGGCTACTCCCTTGTCTTGCTCTCATGCTTGGAAGAGAAGCTCACAGCAGCAGCAGCAGCGGGAGCGGCAAGAATAACAAAGGTGAAAGATTACCTCCATATGGTATTTCTGACCAGGAAAAGAGAGGTTCTGTAGCAGGACTCCTCTTTGATGTGAGGTTTAATCAATAGAAAGAGATTACAGAAAACTATTACAGGCTAAATCACGGAGTGCCACAGAGAGGCTTAGCCCTCTCCACAGCTCTCTCAGCTGCATGGCGCTTCTTTTGGCTGCGTATTGACTTGTTGTTTTCCTGACCTTTGACTCATCAGGTTCAGAAACGGGGGGTCTGGAGAGGCAGCGGAGAGAGAGAGAAAGAGAGAGAGAGAGAGAGAGCGGGAGAGAGAGAGCGTGTGGCAGATTCAGGCTGATAAATGCTCCGATCCAGTGTTTAAAGCAGTGGATTAGGGAGGGACTACTCTCACAGTCCGAGCCAATGTCGGCGTCGTGTTTCACATGTTTGATTTGGCTTCTGGAAACCGCTAAACATGCTCTCATGTCTGTTTATCGCTTCGCCTATGTTATATGTAATGTTCAGCTAGGAAGGACTGTGTTAACTAAAGACAGTTCAGGATGAGCCTGTAATTAACCACATGCGAGGCTGACTAAAAGCATTACCTGGAGTAAATAGAGTTAGGACTGAGGAGGTAAGCATTTCTGAAATCTACAGGGAACATTAATTTCAATGTTCCCTGACAAAGTTAATGAGCCTTCTCATTCCAACAGGGTTATTATTATTAATACAAAATTATTATTATTGTCATTATTATTATTATTATTATTATTATAATTATTACTATTAATATTATTAATATTATTATTATCATTATCATTATCATTATTATTATTACTATTATTATTATTATTATTATTATCATAAGGAAGAGAACAAAAATATATTTAATTTGACTTTATTTTTCTACCTTATGGGTTTTCTTTGTGCTGAAAAAGCTCCAGCAAAGGCATGACAGAGAACAGAAAGCTATTCAGCAGGAGAGACAATTGACTTTGGCTGCTTTTTGTCTCAGAGAGCCCCAGTGATGCGGCTGCAGTGACTAGATAGTGTTGTGCCGAATGGCTCGCGCACAGCTGGGTTCCTGACTGGCTCAATGGCAGGGCCACTAGTGCTTCCTCCTCTAAAGCACGAGGGGGACCGGGGAAAGATGTGGTTATTATCTAAGTAGCTCCCAAATACCCTCCATTTCCCCATCAGCAAAGATGAGAAGAAAGAGAGGCAGACAAAGAGGAAAAGGGAGAAAAAACAAAGAGTATACATGTCAGTTTCGTTTGGAAGGGTAAATGCTTTTGTGCCGTGGAGATGGATGCCTGTGCACCGGTGCTGCCTGGTATCCGCGCGCACGGCTCCTCAAACCTTTTTTTTTTTTTTTTTTTTTTTTGTACGATGATTCAGTGCTGTCCCTCCATCTGCACACACGGGCACCCATCTTGCACACGTCTCCCTCGCTCCCCCTCCAATCGCTCCAAGCGTTTTCTGCGGGCTCCTGCGCGATCAACAGCTCATAATTGTTTTTTGCACATACGTTATGCAAATGAGTCTTTATGGCAACTGGCATAACAATTAGCATTCTCCAACAATATTTTAGTAGGTTAATTGCGAAATTTCTGAATTGTACATCTGAGTTGTTAATTAGGCATGACAGAGGTGGTGAAATAGTTATCTTCAGGCGGTGGCAGCCAGCAGAGGCTGCTTTGGATGCAAAAAGGAAGGATTGATTGAAATTAGTTTACAGCAGTAGGAACGTGGCTGTTGCCTCTTTTGCTTTTTGCGGCATCTGTTTGTGGCTGAGTGTAGAGATAGAAACCCGAAGCTGACAGGGAGAAGCTAGTTCAAGTGATGACCTGAAACACTGAACAGAGATGTGAATGATACAACTTGTTGTCTTGTCAACATGTACTTTTTTTTTTTTGAACGCATCACTGCGGCTGTGCTCTTGTCAAAACTGTAAAAGACCTTTGACCTGCCAGACACAGTTAAACCAAACTTTCCTTTTTTCTTTTTTTAAAAGGACTTTTTACTGCTTGAAACAAAGTTAATGCCAAAACCAAAGACTTTTAATATTTCACACTTTCTGTTTTATGATGCAAAATTAAAAAAAAAGCTGACAACCTGTGTTTATGAAACACAAAGTAACAAAAAATAAAATAAAACTCACGCGTGTATCCTCCTTATTCTGTCAGCGTCCAGCTCTGTTTATTTACAGCAAAAAAAAAAAAAAAACACTCAGATTTTTTCTTTCAACATGAACTTTTCCTTAAGTCTCCTCAT